ATTAAGTCTTGTTGCTTTATCGCTTATGCATCCAAGCGATAAGCAGACTCTCAGTAGGTAACTCGGTTAATATCATATGTCTCCACTTTAAAGGGAACCGTTCCACTTTTAAATTTCTCAGTTCTCGAAGATAGGTCATCTTGTCTGTTCTGGATTTTTAAATACTCCTAAATTTTAGAACACATCAATACATTTATTAAATATATTTATTTTGAAGAAACTGCTAATGCAAATGGTTTTAAACTTCTCCGCTCTAGCAATGAACAAGCCGCGCTGCCAAGAACTTCCGACGACGAACTGAATCAGTATATGTATTGCGAAGAACACTTAACTAACCTCTCGACACTTCAACATTTATACACCCAAAAGCCGGCAGTAACGTTATCAGAAGCCCTGCATTTGGCTGTAGTGCAGTGTGTACAATTGCATCGTTTTATCCTGGACGTCTGCMAGGAGATGGAGGAACTTTTTAATCCTTTTTGCCTTGTTAAATCGATACAAGTTACTTTGCAGCTTTGTTTATTGGTCTTCGTTGGTGTTGCGGTGAGTTGTTGTTGCTGCCGCAGTATTGATATTGTTTACCACCAACGCTACCGTTAAATTTGATTTTCAATTTCTTCACTTTCCATTTTGTACTATTCGCTTCAGGGTGAACGTTCGGTAGTGCGCATTTTGAATTTGGTCCAATATGTGACCCTGACATTTATCGAGCTGTTGATGTTCACTTACTTTGGTGAGYTGTTGCGCGGGCATAGTGTGCGTTGTGGTGAGGCGTTTTGGCGTTCACAGTGGTGGACCCACACCGCTGCCATACGTCAGGATATACTCATTTTATTGGCGAATAGTAAGCGTGCAGTTCGTCTGACGGCGGGTAAATTCTATGCKATGGATGTGGAGAGACTGCGGTCGGTAAGTGGGGGAAAAGTGATTTTTCCGCTGAAAAGCGAAGAAAATGTATAATTTTGTTTTCGATTTTTCAGGTGGTCACTCAAGCATTTTCGTTTTTGACACTGCTACAGAAGTTAGCGGCTAAAAATCCGAAGTAAAAATTGTAGATATTGACTCAATGAATATTGTGTGTGTTTAATAAAAAGTAAAGAACCTAAAGTTTCAAGGTTAAAACTCATTGCCTTAATCAGTTAGAGTCAGTTTGATAGAATGAAGTAATTTAAGGATTCTCTCATTCTTCGCGTTATGGTCGTAGATACAATAAGTATTGGATATATTATTTCTTGAAAATAGGATCTTCTTTCGATATAGTGAAGATTTGTGGAGGATGGAGTCATGCGTAGAAGTTCACGCAAGTGAGGAAAGTTTACTGATTGCTATTCCCTTTGGGAGGGGCTGGAAACGATTCATTTACTTATGACTCAAGCAGCTCACGATTTCCGGTCTTAGATCAAGTTTCTTCTGGTTAGACAAAGAACATACGTTTGCAGACGAGCTTAAAGTAAGAAGGTGAATCATCCTTCGCCAGGGTTGTGTGCTGGGTTTAAAACTCGCCATGTATAAGCGCCCCCAATGAAAAGTAATAAACAGCATCGGAAAAAAACCTCTTTTTATGGCAAACGCATTAAGGATATCGATTTAAGGCCATGACCTGGAATGTTTGGTATCTCAATTGGGAAGGTGCCGCTGCCCAGCTGGTTGATGTTCTCGTGAAAATAAAGGCCATCACCGTCATCCAAGAAGTGCTATGGAAGGAGCGCAAATTCAGTGTGGGATTTGTGGTGGGAGAGAAGCTCCGTCGCCGAGTAATCTAGTGACTGATGCCCAGAGCATACTAAAATTATTTAGGGAACACTTCTCCAGTGAAAGCATAACACCAGCAGATGGCAAACCCGATTCGCCAATCGGTGGCAATGGAGCAGACTTTCCATTGCCCGAATAAGAATAAGTTCGAATAGCAATTACCCGTCTGAAAAACAACAAAGCGGCGGGGGCCGATGGAGCGCTGATCGAGCTATTCAAACACGGCGGTGTAGATCTGATAAGGAGCATGCATCACCTTCTTTGTAGAATAATGCCGGACGAAAGCATGTCCAACGATTGGAATTTAAGTGTGCTCTGAACAATCCATAAAACGGGAGTCCCCACAATCTGCGCCAACTACCGTGGGATAAGTCTCATCAACATTGCGTATAAGGTTCTATCGAGCGTATTGTGTGAATGACTAAAGTCCACCGTCAACTAACTGATTGGACCTTATCGGTGTGGTTCTGAACCTGGAAATACAACAATTGACCAGATGTTCACCATGCGCCATATCTTGGAACTCTTGTCAAAGTTTTATCTCGACGAGCAAATATCAAACTCTACAAGTCACTCATCATCCCTGTCTTGCTATATGGTGCAGAGGCATGGACGATGAGTCGACGTTGCGAGTTTTCGAGGCGAAAGGTTCTGCGAAAGATTTATGGTCCTTTCCGCATTTGCAACGGTGAATACTGCATGCGATGAAACGATGAGCTGTACAAGTTATTCGATGATATTGACATAGTTCAGAGGACTTGACAGACAGCGGCTTTGCTGGCTAGGTTATGTCGTCCAAATGGGCGAAAACATTCCAGCTCTGAAAGTATTCGACGCAGTACCCGCCATGAGAAACAGGGGAAGAGGAAGACTTCCACTCCTTTGGAAAGACCTACGCCAGAAAGCGGAAACCATTACTTTTTATCCGATAGAACAGTCTTCGAAATTGATTTGCTGCGGTTTCGCGTGTATCTTGGCCTCTGATGTGTACCAGTGAATTCATGTTTTGTCGACGGCTACTAAACCATGCAGAAACGTTTTCGAATTGGTTTGAAGGTTACATCCGACAGCTTTCCCATAACCAATATTTCAAATAGGACGATGATATTAAACAACAATCATGCGTCCACATTTTTCATGTTAGCCGTTAGATCATCAAAATCCGATTTTGGCTGAAATTTACTAAGTCGATAAAGAGAGAACGCTTCTTAACAGCAATGCTATTGATAGAAATCATCCGACAAACATGCAATTCGAAAAACCTTTACTGTGTTAAAAATATAAAGCTACAGACGCCGACGACCTACGGTTGATTTGAAAGCTGCTTTCGATAGCATAAAAAGATATCACAATGTCTGAATTAGGAATTCATATAAAACTTAGTGTTACGTAAAATGACTTTAAATGCTACCATCATCTCGCCGAGCCGTTCGATTAAAAACGAGGTTTCAGATAAGAAACCTCTTAAGAAGCGTTTTCTTTAATCTAATCCATGACACTACGTTTTTCAAGAGTTACCAGTTATTGGCTTACGCCTGGGAAATATCGACCATCCTTTAGAAGTGCTCGTGAGAAAAGTTTTCCAGTTTTGGTCCCCTACAATTTTGTGAAGAGGACTACCGGATTCGTTGGAATAAAGTGCCGTTGGAGCTTTTCCGAGATATGTACATACTCGTATTGTGACGCATAATAATACATCGTCTGCACTGGCGTGACCATGTTGTTATGGAGGGAAACACTGCAGCTCGATTGATGTACGATTCGGTGCCCCCAGATAAACGACGAAAATAGTCGACTCAAACTCCGATGGAAGTGTAAAGTGGATGCAGCCAGTCGAAACTTGAAATCTGCAACTGACGATAGGCGATAGCTTATCGACACTGCCCAGATCGAGACCAGGTCCGATGTTGATAAAGTACATAAAGGAGATCCCTCGTAGGCTTACATTTCAGGCAGCAGTCAGCGCAGAATGTCTTAATTTTTCGAACTCAAACGAACAAAAGCCAAATAAAAAGAAACAAAAAAAAAAAAAAAAAAAAACAAGAGAAAACTTTGCATTTTTCGTAATATAATATTAAAAAACAAGTTTTTGCTGAATTTGAGTGTGATTGCACCTCAACACCAGACACTTAATTATAACAAGAAAAAGTTTTGAAAGGCGTTGACAAAAAGTTGTGTGTTTAGAATTTAGGGTAGTCTCATTGAATAAACATATGACTTCATACATAGTAATACGTGGCGGGCTAACTAAACAGGGTTTCACAATCGGAATATGTTAAAAGAAAGTCTAGCGATTGGATTTCACAGTCGACTCTATAACTCTTGATGGAATGTATAGTATCAATCAATATATAGACATGTTAGACGTTGACAAAGCTCCCGGATTTTCTTCAGAATTAATAACTTTTGCTGGAGTTTATTGATATTATGAGTTCTAGTAAAAATAAGTTCATTATTAACACGTAGCAATCTTGGCTTGAAGCCACAAGAACTTTTCCCACAACATTCTGAAAAGGAACAAAGCAAAAAAATATAGCAGCAAGGCACTCTAGCGATGTGACTAGAGGCAGCCTTCAAGTGGTTGTTATTGACGCGAACACAGAAGCGCATCATGCAGAAGATATGGGTGGAGATAGACGTTAGATTATCGCGTCTAGTATTAAGCTACGTACTCGACTATAGGCGCGGTCTACATCCAGAGTTTAACTCCATCCCTATGCGCTACAGGGTCATCAATCTCCTTGAATTTTCGGTTAGGTAATGTCGCTAAAACTCCTACATTGCATCACGCTGCAAAATAAGTCCGTACCGTGTAAAAAAGACTGGCGACTGATAAAGAAGAGGAAACCCAAAGTCAGCAAACAGATACATAGGGACTAAAACTAAAATCAGCTTCTGTATTTCGCTAGACTAGGTGACAAAGCGGCTTTGAAAGACTAAACCAAAGAGGCCGAATACGCCTTCCAATTGCTAACCATGTGGCTATAAGAGAACAACAAGTTGCCCCACAAACTGAAACAATCCGTATTGTGAACGCCTTTATCACGAATTGATTACAGTGAACTGATGTTTTTAATCTTTTTATAAGAAGTAGAGTAATTGCACCTTAATTACTTATAAATAATTAACGACAATTTCCATTTTTTATTTTGGCGTCTACCCCATATAAATAATGGGCTAGTTAAGAGTTAACGGTTTAGTTTATATTTTCACATCAAGCGAAAACGTTTCTAAAGCAAAACATCAAAATGGATGCCAGAGATTTAGGAGGAGCGTCGATACTTTATTCCCATGACGACGAGCCGCGTATTGCCGACTTATTCGACGCACATGTAATCTTCTTCAAAGCCACTGGACAAATCCCATTCAATGTAGGCTATGGACTGGGCTATATCTACTGTTGCTTCTTTGTTATGCAATCCGTCCACATAGCAGGGCTTTTCTTGAAGACCTCCTACGATATGTTCCTCGGCGGCAAACTGGAAGAGATCACCGACGCACTCACCATGAGCGTCATATTTTCGTTTAGCGTTTATGCAGCCTTCTACTGGTTGCTGCGTTGGAAACGTCTATTGGCTTTTTTGCAGCGCATCAATCAATATTATTGGCATCACTCGTTGCCCGGCTTAAGTTTTGTGAGCGCATATCGCCCTTTTGTTTTGGCTAAACGTATTACTATTGTGTGGGTGCTGACCTGCGTGGCCGGTACAGCGCTGTACGGTTTACCTCCATTGGTCATGGGTGTGCGCACGCTACCACTGAACTGCTGGTATCCCTTTGATCCATTGGTAGGTGACTTTTTTGCAATAAATTTTCAATTCTTTGTTTTGTATAGCTTTGCTTATATATGTTTACAGCAACCTTATGTCTATGAGCTAGTGTATGCTTTACAATTTACAGCTCAGTTAATAATGGGCGCCACTCTGAGTAATGGCTCCGCTTTGTTTGTTTCATTGGTTATACTCATATGTGGACAGTTCGATGTGCTTTACTGCAGTTTGAAGAACTTGACTTACTACGGCCGTTTGCGCGCCCGCTGTGATATGGAGAAATTGCGGTAGGTAAAATATTT